TTTATTGTATAATAATAAAGTTGGCGTTCGCTATGAGTTAAACTAAACACGTAAAACAAATTTTCCTAAAGGATTTGGCAACAAATTATTTTTAAACTTTTTAAATAAGCGGAAACCAGTTGTAACTATGAAATCGAAATTGGATATTAAAGGAACTTTGAAAAAAAAAGTTATTCTTCTTAAGGGTCTAGTTTTAGTTTTTTTTTTTAAATATTTTAATTCAAAACTGCACCACAATTTATATACACAAATTTAGCAGCAATCGCCCATCATTCCCATCAATTGCACATTTTATCAGTTAAATAGCGCATAAAATATAGCTGAGTTGCGCTGCCGCCGCCGCTGACTTCCAATCAGCAGTCGCTCGAGTGGCCAGCGGCGCGCCATAAAGGGAATTCACATTGAAATTTAAATCAATGCTCGGAGCACAGTTTGCCATTGAGCGCTGACAGCATAGCAAAACACAGAGGCGGCGCTTTGTTAAAAGCATTATGCAAAAAAAAAACAATAAAAATAAAATTAATAAAAATAATAAAAAAAAGTAGAAATCAAGTGCAATAAAAGTGCTTATTATTGAAAATGAAATGGCAATAAAAGCGATTCATCAGAAACGGAGCATAAAGAAGCAGCAATTGATGACATTTAGAAGACAAATGCGCAGTGCTGGAGGGAAAAGGGAGAATTTATTTTTTACGAAGAAGCTGTATACAGCGCAAAATTCCTTTTCGTTGCTGCATGCAATTTTTCAACAATTTCGTAATTTACACTCTATGCTAAAAGTTAGTAATTTAGAAAAGAAAAAGCCCAGCGGCATTTAATTTGCTACCTTTAATAACATTTGGTAGCAGTCTTCATTTAAAGTATTTTTTTTTTTATTTCTTCCATACATATTTATTTAAATTTGAAAATGTGCGCACTTTATATTAAGCACCACTTTACATACACGCCTATTCATCATGCTCTTACGCATGACTTGTGGCCAGAAATTATTATGAAATTAAAATCGCATCAACTTGAAAATATTTGACACTCATCTTTGTAGGCAATTTATGATGGCAACAAATATTTAATTTCAGCCGGTAGCGAGGAATAAAACATTTTTTTCCACAAACAAAAAAATCGCACTTGATCTTCGCAATCTGTGAGCGCACAGTGGCAGGGATTCATAAATTAATATGTATGTATGTATGCATGTATGTATGTATGTGAGCTTGTGCATATTTCTGCTGTCTGCATGCACCCATATCAACACGAATTAAGCGGCTGATCCGAGCTCAAGCAAATCGCTGCGAGTTTTGTGTTCTTTATGCAGTCTGCGTTTTTTTTTTAATAAAATAACCCGATACATTTGTTCTAGGTTCTTAAAGTTTAGTTTCACTTCTACATTCGTATAAGAAGGAGAAAAACGGTAAAAACCTAATATCTAAAATCTAAAAAAAGGAGAATGGCAACATTGGGTGTGCATAATTTCGTGTCTGAGCAATCATGCGTATAGCCAAATATTCATGTAGTTGAGATGCCTTCAGCCTCAGCCAGACCTGATGCAATTTAATTCTCCGATCGTCCAATATCATTCCTTGGATTTTGTCGCCGATTTCAGTCGTGACAAGCACTCTTGGCCAATCTGAACTTTCGGCGTCATTTGTGTTGGTATGACCCCAACTGAGTATGGTAAACGACCTCTTATTTATTAAAATTGATGTGGCAGAGTCTACATAATATTTATCAAGCCATGTCTGGTTTCGTTGAAAATATATTTTTAACAAAAAAATTTTATTGATTAGCGAGCTCAAAACACTTTTTTTTTATATTACAAACATATTTGTTTTTTTTACTAAACTTAGAAAAAAAAGTAATTTCTTGTTAGAAGAAAGATAACAAAAACCTCCGTAAACTTTATGCGTTATTCTTTGGTGCCTAATTATTTATTTTGAAAGGAGTTTTAGTAATTTGCAAACCGGGCTTTAAAAATCATAAATAAAGCTCTATTCATTTGACCGCTGACAACACCTGGTGATCTTTGCGAGATTAAAAAGAAAATTAAATCACATTAAAATTCTTTGCGATTTCGTGATAGTTCCAAAACTTGGGCAGCTTTGTTGTTCTTTTTACTCTTTTATATATTCGTAGGTCATGGCGTACGTGATTTAAATCCACGAACATATGTTAAAGATGACGTTAAATGACATTCAAGGAGATAAATTTTAATTATATGTGTTATATAAATTAATTACACATATTCAACCAATTATTTTGTCTGATTTTTTTTTTAAACTGATAGTAAAATGAATAAATTTGCAAGCGTGAAGCATGTACTAAAATACATACTTACATCTACCTATGTACAAACCATAAGCACTTGCGTTCATAAGACTTAGAATCTAAAACACGCCTTTAAAGTACATTTGTATGTATGTATGTGTGCTCAGACATACGTATTGTTATCATTTGTTTGATTTATAAACACATTTCGTTTTTTTCTTCTTGCAAGGCGCTCGAAGTTCCAGAGAATTGTTTAAACTTTTATGGCAAATTACAAATTGCAAATTATACATACATTTAAACAAAAGTGACTATATTATTTTATATCTGTCTCTGTTTCTAAATTTATTCTGAGCGTAGTACTCATGCCGACCGGTATTCGGCGCCAATTTTGAATTTACTTGGTCATCCATTATACTAAATTGGCACTATTTGATAACTGGTATTTTCTGTTTAAATTTAATCATGATCATTACTATGATATCGAATTTTAATACAAATACTGGGTAGCAACTATTTCTACCGCTATCAGTTAGTTCTAGAAATTTTTAAATGGTTCTTTGGCTCATTTTTACTGAGAAAAAAGAAGTCCAGGTCCCTGACCGTAGCAATCGTGAGACTCCTGTAGACAGCTAGAAAGAATAACAAAGATAGCGACATAATATAATAACAAATTGGCGATGTGTGGCGTGCGCCTTGATATTGGCACATAAAGGAGATGTACCTACATTTTACGCCGACTACGAATAGCGATTGCATTTTTATGAGAAGATGTTTTTCATAGCAGAAATACACTCGAAAGTTTGCTATCATTGTATTATATTTTCAGTTTTTTTCGAGGAATTGATGGCACCAAATTTTGCTGAATGTCTGGATTGTACCTATGTATGTATATAGAAAAGGAATTTCTCAGGCTTCCCAGGTTGGCGATTTTAAGCGTTTTTTTTTCAATTTGAAGTTGGTTGTCGCAAAACAGTATGGATAACAATTTCAGCATGCATATATTTTAACCACTCAAAGTCCTTTCAAAGGGTTTTAGAGTCCGAGGAACCTGAATATGCAGCTTAGTTTTACCAAAAGCGGCCGCTGGGGTACGCTATGATGAGAAGACCGTGAAAGGAGCATAAACATGTCTCTTAACAATGTTTCTTATTCTTTTTTTTTTGCACCAAAGTGCGCCCAGTGGCCGTTTTTATTAAAAATAATTGCAGATTCAGATTCCTCGTTCCCGATAATCCCCAGAAAGGCCTTTTGATGGTACAAATATTTGCATCTAAATCAAGGACAACTTTGAAATCACTACAGAATTTCTCTCTACAAGCAACTTCTTTTATTAGATTGTCAAAAATATAATAAAGTTACATGATTCAATAATTATTGAATCATGATAAAGTTATACCTCTTTTTGTCATTCACTGAAATTCTCCAATGATCTCAATGGTGTTTGTCCTTCAGAAAGAGAATTTGTTTTGGGCCAGTAAAAGTTTCACCGCCGCTGCTCGAAAATGGATCAGTAACTACATATTTCAGATGTTTTCCTACTGTATTTAGAGATACATTGATGCCTCTTCGATTGAGCTCGAATAGCTTCGAATGTCCTCTTTAAAATTTAATGCTCCTCCGCTTAAAAAAATCCCAAAAATTATGAATATATATTTTTTCGTTGGCAACTAGCATATCTACAAAATGTTATGAAAAATCTTACCTAAAAAATTACAACAATCTTAATTTTCTTAATACAGCTCCCGGCTTGCCGCGATCTTAATTCAGACCACTGAAACAATCCAGAACTCACCAGGAGAATGTGGCCGCACTGCTAGTTTAGTTCGATCTCTTTCCGTCTATCCAACCGGTTGTAGGTCCTTCTTAGGCATTGTCTTTGAAGTCAGACTTTTTTTTAATGAAAGCAGTTCAGCCCTTGATTTGGGCTTCTTTAATACGTAGTCTTCTTTAGCCTCGTGTCCAATCACGTACTTACAAAGCATCGGCGGCAACCCGCATTTTCACGCATCTCTATACAGCTTGATTATGTTAGGGTAGCTGCGGGATTTTAAGTTTTGGGAGGATCTTCCATTTCTAGATACTTCCTTAAATTCTCCATCGTCCGCCAAGTAATGGTGGGGCAGTTATTTTACATGCTGACCCATCTATCAGTTCCGTTTAGTCAACTGCTTCGGGATTTATTGTGTTACTAAGTGGCTTAATAAGTCTCACAGATTATTCTGATTTCTTTCTTGGTACGTCAAGTTTCCGTATTTGTAAAGGTTTCCCAATCTCAAGTTCTCTTGCTACCAGAATGTGACTTTTCTCGTAAAGGTTGTAGATCCATTTCCAGCAAAATATTTTCAGGATGACAGAAAAAGTTATTGTGACATAAAACCTTCGGAACTACTCCTTTTGTTTATATACTTTGAGTACTAGAACATTCGCCACATATGAATTGCAACAGCGGTGAAGTTTGGCCCCGGTGTATGGAAAACCACATCCTGGCATAAACCCTAATGATGAAATGAACTCGTTTTTTTCAAAATATTGAAATTCCAATCCAGGAACCACTGCATATCAACCGAATTAAATTTTGTTTGTTTGCATGTCCAATGGCGACTTTCTGTAACTAAAGTAAAGAAAATATTTAATGAAAACAAGTAAGAAAGTCTAAGTTCGGGCGGAGCCGAACATTAAATATCCGGCGCAAGTATTAAATATATGTTTTTCACCTTTCCGAAACCTACCGCTAGATGGTAAGCCGGGGTGTATCAATTTTGAGTAAATTAGCGTCCTTAAATTTCGAAATATTGAAGTTTCAAGCATTTCTGAAATTTACCGTTATATGAAAAGCGGCCGTAATTTTAGTCCGATTTCAATAATTTTCAACGTTTCGCTTATATGTGGCAAGCACAATAACCATACCGAGTTTGATACAAATTGGTAGAACGGTTACCGATATACATATATGTGATCATAAGTGGGCGGTGCCACGCCCATTTTCCAAAATTTTACCATTAACGTATTTCCTGGTAAAGAAATTTTGCAAGCATCAATTTTGAATAAATTAGCTTCAATATTTACTGATTTATCGAAGATTTTGTATTTCTCTAAATTACCGTTATATGGGATGTGGGCGTGGTTATCGTCCGATTTTAAAAATTTTTTATGCTGTACCAAGGCTAACAACTGTGCCAAGTTTCGAAGAAATTAGTGCAGTGGTTACCGAGATATACACATGTAACCATAAGTGGGCGTGGCTACGCCCATTTTCCAAAAATGTATAACACTCTTAGTTTCGTCTAAAAATTATTGTAAATATTAATTTTGAGTGAATAATTTTCAGTAGTTACTAAAATATCGCAGTTTTCGTATTTCCGAAAATTACCGTTATATGGGATGTGGGCGTGGTTATCGTCCGATTTTAAAAATTTTTTATGCTGTACCAAGGTTAACAACTGTGCCAAGTTTCGAAGAAATTAGTGCAGCGGTTACCGAGATATACACATGTAACCATAAGTGGGCGTGGCTACGCCCATTTTCCAAAAATGTATAACACTCTTAGTTTCGTCTAAAAATTATTGTAAATATTAATTTTGAGTGAATAATTTTCAGTAGTTACTAAAATATCGCAGTTTTCGTATTTCCGAAAATTACCGTTATATGGGAAGTGGGCGTGGTTATTGTCCGATTTTTTAAATTTTCGGCCATTTAGTATGCTGTACCAAGGCCAACAACTGTGCCAAGTTTGGAAGAAATTGGTGCAGCGGTTACCAAGATATACACATGTAACCATAAGTGGGCGTGGCTACGCCCATTTTCCAAAAATTTATAATATTCTTATTTTTCGTCTAAAAATTATTGTAAATATCAATTTTGAGTGAATTATCTTCAGTAGTTACTAAAATATCGCAGTTTTCGTATTTCTGGAAATTACCGTTATATGGGAAGTGGGCGTGGTTAAAGTCCGATTTCGCCCATTTTCAATACCAACCTACCTTGGATTAAGGGAAACCTACATACCAAATTTCGTTGAGATATCTCAATTTTTGCTCGAGTTATCGTGTACACGGACAGACGGACAGACGGACAGACGGACAGACGGACAGACGGACGGACAGACAGACATGGCTTAATCGATTTCTTTTTTCATCCTGATCATTTATGTATACATTTGTCTATATCTATCTCGATTCGTTTTGGCTGTTACAAACAACCGTCATGTGAACAAAATTAATATACCCTTGTGCACAAGTGCGCTCGGGTATAAAAATCCGATCGGTTTCTCGTTGAAAGTTAGACATATTTTGTCTTTTTAAAGGAACGAAGAGCGGTGCAGCTCCACTATTTTCTACGCTGAAGTTGATGACCGAATTTGACTGCAAATTACTTACTTTCCGTACCTTCCATTTCCCTAACCATCTCTCTCCAACAACCTTCTTTGATTTAATCTTTCAAAAGGTATATTATTTGATTCACAAAACTTCTGTTATAATTTTCGAATTTTCCTTTTACTTTAATAAAAGATACACAAATAAATTTTTCATGCTACCAGATGTCGCTAGAAAATACTTAAAATAATTTTTCAATATAGTGCATACATACAAATGTACTTATTTTCGTTCAACTATGTATTTAGTCACTCGACTACTAGATACAGTAATTTTCGACGCGCACACCCAACAAATTAATAGTGACTAAAGACTGTTGTTAGATGACGTTGTTTGTTTTTTTGTTTGTGTACGTCGCCCCTTTTTTAACTAGCGAAACAACCCCTCAAATGCAGAGAGTACTTAGTACGCGACTATACATATTATTAAATGAAATTGTATAGTTCCGCAATTTGAGTGTTTTCCTTATGTTTTCAACTCCCTATACTTTGTGTGCTTGTATAATTTATTTGTCATTAGAATATTATGTAGAAAAGAAATTAAAACAAAGAATTTAGTTGTTGTTGCTGCTGTTCATGGTTACACTTTTGAATATTTAGTCTAGCGAGCAAAAAACAACATTAGCATGATGCGTACAAACATACATACATACATATGTATGTATAGAGATATGTATTTTCTTGCAATCGTGTTATTGTATACATACAAACTTGGTCATCAACAAAGTGAATGTAACGCTGATGACGATTGAGACAATTTTCGAACAGGACATTAACCAGGACAGACGGAAAATGTATGTCCAGCAATGGTTCTATAGTTAGATGGGCGGACAGGTGAGGTGGCTACATACATACTTACATACATAAGTGTTTAGGTGGAGCGTATGTCAAACAAAACAAACAATCAATGGCAAATAGCTTTGTTTGTGGTATCTAAGTTAGGAACGTTGGCATTCAATGGCACGGAAAAATGTTGAAGAAAATGTAACAGGCGGTAAATAATTATATTTTGTAAACAAAGTAGTATAGAACTATACGTAAACTCGTAATAAAAATAGAACAAAGTATAACAAGTAAAAAAATAAAATTGGAACAAGACATGAATATGTGAATGCATATTGGTAGTGTGCAAGTGAGGTAACGCAATTTGTACTTTTGCATGTGCTGGTGTAAGGATAGGCTGTGAAAAAATACATACATATAAGTATATATACTCCTATGCAGTTATGGGGGTTTAGTGCGCTTTAGTTAGTGTTNTTTTTTTGTTTGTGTACGTCGCCCCTTTTTTAACTAGCGAAACAACCCCTCAAATGCAGAGAGTACTTAGTACGCGACTATACATATTATTAAATGAAATTGTAAGTTCCGCAATTTGAGTGTTTTCCTTATGTTTTCAACTCCCTATACTTTGTGTGCTTGTATAATTTATTTGTCATTAGAATATTATGTAGAAAAGAAATTAAAACAAAGAATTTAGTTGTTGTTGCTGCTGTTCATGGTTACACTTTTGAATATTTAGTCTAGCGAGCAAAAAACAACATTAGCATGATGCGTACAAACATACATACATACATATGTATGTATAGAGATATGTATTTTCTTGCAATCGTGTTATTGTATACATACAAACTTGGTCATCAACAAAGTGAATGTAACGCTGATGACGATTGAGACAATTTTCGAACAGGACATTAACCAGGACAGACGGAAAATGTATGTCCAGCAATGGTTCTATAGTTAGATGGGCGGACAGGTGAGGTGGCTACATACATACTTACATAAGTGTTTAGGTGGAGCGTATGTCAAACAAAACAAACAATCAATGGCAAATAGCTTTGTTTGTGGTATCTAAGTTAGGAACGTTGGCATTCAATGGCACGGAAAAATGTTGAAGAAAATGTAACAGGCGGTAAATAATTATATTTTGTAAACAAAGTAGTATAGAACTATACGTAAACTCGTAATAAAAATAGAACAAAGTATAACAAGTAAAAAAATAAAATTGGAACAAGACATGAATATGTGAATGCATATTGGTAGTGTGCAAGTGAGGTAACGCAATTTGTACTTTTGCATGTGCTGGTGTAAGGATAGGCTGTGAAAAAATACATACATATAAGTATATATACTCCTATGCAGTTATGGGGGTTTAGTGCGCTTTAGTTAGTGTTTAAAAAGTGACAGCCATGATAAATGACAGTGAAATAAAGTCGTAAATATATATCCATAGATATGTGATTATATAGGTGCTACAGCTATCGNTCCGCAATTTGAGTGTTTTCCTTATGTTTTCAACTCCCTATACTTTGTGTGCTTGTATAATTTATTTGTCATTAGAATATTATGTAGAAAAGAAATTAAAACAAAGAATTTAGTTGTTGTTGCTGCTGTTCATGGTTACACTTTTGAATATTTAGTCTAGCGAGCAAAAAACAACATTAGCATGATGCGTACAAACATACATACATACATATGTATGTATAGAGATATGTATTTTCTTGCAATCGTGTTATTGTATACATACAAACTTGGTCATCAACAAAGTGAATGTAACGCTGATGACGATTGAGACAATTTTCGAACAGGACATTAACCAGGACAGACGGAAAATGTATGTCCAGCAATGGTTCTATAGTTAGATGGGCGGACAGGTGAGGTGGCTACATACATACTTACATACATAAGTGTTTAGGTGGAGCGTATGTCAAACAAAACAAACAATCAATGGCAAATAGCTTTGTTTGTGGTATCTAAGTTAGGAACGTTGGCATTCAATGGCACGGAAAAATGTTGAAGAAAATGTAACAGGCGGTAAATAATTATATTTTGTAAACAAAGTAGTATAGAACTATACGTAAACTCGTAATAAAAATAGAACAAAGTATAACAAGTAAAAAAATAAAATTGGAACAAGACATGAATATGTGAATGCATATTGGTAGTGTGCAAGTGAGGTAACGCAATTTGTACTTTTGCATGTGCTGGTGTAAGGATAGGCTGTGAAAAAATACATACATATAAGTATATATACTCCTATGCAGTTATGGGGGTTTAGTGCGCTTTAGTTAGTGTTTACAAAGTGACAGCCATGATAAATGACAGTGAAATAAAGTCGTAAATATATATCCATAGATATGTGATTATATAGGTGCTACAATTATCTATTTTTCGTCGCGAGTGCTTTAATGAATGGGCGAGCCTTAAAAGCCTTGCCTTGTTAAGTTGAAAGCTTTTCCTATTTCAAATTGAGCATATACCCAAAAGTAAATTAAAAAAACCTATGTTAATAAAACGTTCATTAAAGTCATCTTCGTATATAAAAAGTGTATTTATCAGTTAAAGCACTCACACTGATTTATATGGAGC